GAGGCGGCGCCGCCTCCGCCGCCGCCGCCGCCCGCCGCTCGCCGCTTCGTGAGGAGAACCGGAGCGGTTGAGTTCCGTCCCGAAGATGACCGTTCTTGGTTTTTGAAAGGGGCGAGAAGGCGAATCCTAATTATTATTTAAAAAAAAGAGAGAGAGAGAGAAGAAGGAAGGAAGGGAAGGGAGAGGCTGCGAGCCGGGATCGAGCAGGCCGGGCCTGGCGGCAGGCGGGCGGCTGAGGAAGCGCGGATGGGGGCGTCGGTGGCCGGCGGCTGATCCCGCCTCTCGCCCTGCGTGTGGGGTCGGCCTGAGGGGAGCGATGTCGAACGCGGGCACCCGGAGGCCCGGCTCCAGCATCAAAGTCCGCCTCACAGGTACAGACGCCGGGGCGCCGCCGCCTCCTCCAACCGCCCCCCCCTCCTCCCACCGCCCCGGGCGACAACGGCCGGCGCCGTCCCGCTGGAGGAGCCGGCGCCTGGGATGCGGAGGGGAAGGGTGGGAAGGAGAGGAGGGGGTTGCCTCTGCTGGGATCGCCTTCCTGAGGGCCCCAGAGCCCATCATCCGCTGAGGGCCTTTCCCCCCCCCCCCCGCAGCTTGGGCCTCGCCTCTGTGTGGAGGAGGACAGGCTGGGGTGATGGGAGTTGTAGTCCCGTGCCCGGATTCTGCAACAGGGAGTCTTTCTCCTCTTCCTGGTTCCTCTCTTCTTCCCTCCTTTTTCTTTTTTCCACTTCCCCTCTTCTTTCTTTTCTTCCTCTCTTCTTTCCTTCTTTCTCCTTCCTCTCTTTCTGCTTCCCCCTTTTTTGATCCTCTCTTCTTCCCTCTTTTTCTTCCTTTCTTCTTCCTTCCACTTCCTTCCCCTATTTCTTCCTCTCCTTTCCTGTTCCTCCTTCCCCTCTTCTTTCTTTGCTTCCTCTCTTCTTTCCTTCTATCTCCTTCCCCTATTTCTTCCTCTGCTTTCCTCCTTTTTCCTCTCTGCTTTCCTCTTTTCTTCCTTCTTTCCTCCTCCTTTTCCTTCCCCTATTTCCTCCTCTCCTGTTCCATTCTTCTTTCTTTTTCTTCTTTCTCCTTCCCCTATTTCTTTCTCTCTTTCCCGGATTCTCCCTCTTCTCTTTTCTTTGCCGTCTTCTCTACTTTCCTCCTTTTTCCTCTCTTCTTTCCTTTTTTCTTCCTCCCTTCTTTCCTCCTCCTTTTCCTTCCCCTATTTTTTTCTCTTCTTCCTTCTTCTCCTTTCCTTCTACTTCTCTTTCCCTTTGACCTCTTCTTCTCCTCCTCTTTCTCTTCTTTCCTCCCTTTCCTCCCCCTTTTCCCTATCATCCTCTCCAGCCTTGTTTGGATGGAGAGGTAAGTCTTCAGGGCTGTGGAGGAAGAGGAGAAGGTTACAATTGTCCTACTGCTGGTGCTCCTTTCCCTCCCCAGGTGGGCTGAAGGGCTAGGAGGACAGGTAAGCCTCACCTTTCAAAGGGCTGCTCTGACCAGGTTAAAGGAAGGCCTTATTTGGGCCTTGACATTCAAACACGGTGAGCAACACACCATGGCTAACAGTACTGAGACAGTTCCTGCTGTCGTGGATTGACTGTCTCCCTTCTTTTTTCCCTTTTCCTAGGAAAATTGGGGTGTGTGTGGAATCCTTCCTCACATCTCCCCAATTTGGTGGGTTGGAGAAATCCTGTCCCCTCTTTTCATTTCTTGCTCTGCTCTCTTGGCAAAAATGCCCCGCAGACATTTGAGTTCTGACTGTTTCGGCATTGCAGTGGAATTGGGGAAAGCTGGTTGGTCGTGGTTTTTTTTTTCCTCCCCTTGCTGGTTGGAATTTAGGAGATCTTCTAAAAGAGGCTGAATCCTTCCCTCCCTGCAGCTCCTCGGGGTTGGGGACTTTCAAATCTATAAACCTCCTGAAGGATTTGATTATTTGTTTTCCCTTTGGGTTGTTGAATAACTGGAATTTTCTGGATGCACCTTGTTTTAAAACTATTTCAGAGGGTTGTGTTAAATACAACTGGATTTCTGTGTTAAAGCAGTGCTGGTTGTTAATATTTGACAAAATAAATTTCTCATGGGAACACAGATAGTCTATGTTTGTAAAAAATGACCTGGCCAACCAGACTTTATGAGGCTTGACGGGAAGGATAGATTTTGTTCAGGACTTTTTGGAGAGGTGCCCTATGTGGTCTGTATTAAGGCGCACTTAGATTGCATCTAAGGGTTTTCCCATTGAAGATTCCTTCAAATGTCAGAAGGAAATTAGGTGCTTTTGAAAAGGGATAGTAGGGAGCTTCAGTGATCATGGTTCTAAAATTGTGCCCTTGTTGGTTTTTTTAAATGTGGAATATGTATTGTAATAAATGTAACCAAACATCTTTACTAAGAAACCTGTCAAATATACTGTTCAAAAAACGGAACGTGGAAACTTTCAGTCTCCATGTTAGCCATGATTTTGCTGGATAGCTTTTGTCCTTCAGTGGCCTCTCTCTCTCTCTCTCCCTCTCTTGTAATAGGAGGTTAATTATATTGATTTACGTTATAGAACTGGTGCATTACTAATGTAAGTGAAATACACATAGGACAGGTGTTTCCTGGCCTATGCTTTGTAGAATGCCACACTTTTCTATGGAGATAAAAGTATGTGAGCTGGCCTTTAGAATCTAAACAATATTTAACTTCCTGTCTTGTTCCCTCCCCTTTTTTTGAATGAAATTCAGATACTACTAGGAATATTTGCTAATTCCATTGAGAATTACTAACAAAAGCTCGGCACAATTCTTTCGGGAAGCCACATGAATTGCAGAAATCAACTTTCTTTTTATGTTTTGTGTGGATTCTGCTTGAGAGTGTTTTCACTTCTCTCAAAAAAAAAATACTTCCATTTACCAGGGTAAATGATGGGCCAGATTTTCAGCACCTGGCAATGATTAATTGCATTTTTTTCTGCATTGCTTTCATTGAACTACAAATTAACTTGCATTTTTTAAATGGAAGTCTTGATTATTGAACTACCGTTGATATTCTGTCTTCCTGATCTTCATTAATTTAATTAATTCAACGACTTTTTTCAGAAGTTAAAAGGCATTTCAGATGCAAAAAGGAATGAAACATTTAAAACTATACAGCAGTGATTATATTGTCATGCCAGGTTGATGCTTTCTACTTTTCTTATAAACTTATATAATTGCTGTAAATATATGCCATAAATATTTCTTTAATTTAGGTCTGTCCCTACTTAGCATCATAATAGTACTTTTATGCATTTCCTGTAATTATTTTCAACATCCCTACTTAATAGCAATTCTGTTGCTAACTGTTGCTTTCTTGTAAATGAAGAAGATACTATTAAAAGTAGCAATTTCTCTAATGCTAAACAGCAAATTCATGACTGAAGCTTCTAAACTGGAGATTTCTCAACCTAACCATGATATTGTTTAGTCTCTCTGTGTGTGAGTGGTGAATTCTAGTCATGTTTGACCGCCTTCTAGTCATGGAGGCTGCCTGGAAGAGTCCTGACAGTTTTCCAGGCAAGGTTTTTTGGGAGGTGGTTTGCCATTGTCTGCTTCTTAGGGTTGAGAGAGAATGATTGCCCAAAGACACCCACTTATGTGAATGGCTTCATGCCTTAGGTGGAACTAAAGCTCAAGAGGTCCTGGTTTCTAGTCCAATGGCTTAATTATTACACTAAACTGGCTCTATTTTTTAAATCAAATTTGCATGCTGCCTGACTCCCAATGACTGGGCAGCCCACAATCACCAAAGCAAGGAATTCATTAAAAAAAACTGATTCAAGAAGATACATTTTAAATAAATTATTAATGCTCATATTAAGTGATTTTACCTGCAAATATTTTAGATACAGAATTGTTCTGAATGATAGAAAACTAATGTTAACTATCCAATCCAATTCATAATGGGTCTAGTATCTTTGATAGTTTTGCATCTCAATGTGCATTAGCCCTGTCAGCTTGGCCTAAGTTAAGTAGTCTTGGGCTGATTGGAACTTGGTCATGATAGAAACAGCTTATAAAGTAAAATATAAAGCTAGATTTTTTTTTTTTTGTAATATTTGTCAGAAAACAATTTTCATTACTGACTAACATACTTATAATAAAGCCGCCCTGAGTCTCTCAGGAATAGGGCGGCATACAAACCAAATAAAATCTAAACTTGTCAGTATTCATGTGTGTGAGAGAGAGGGAGAGAGAGAGAAATCATGCACCAGACATTGTACATATAATTAAGATGTAGTGTCAAAAAAGGGGGGCTTGACCAAATTCACATTATAACAAGTGATACCTGAGAGTTGAGAATAACAAGGGAGTTAAGGATTTTACAGATTATCTAACTTTGTTTGTAGAAAGCTGCCATACTGTCTCAGACCAATTAGCAAAAGCTGGCCATCCTAAAATGTACTTTTTATGTCTAAAGCTTGAGTTGAAAATTATAAATCTTGGGTAATAATTAAGTTAGTGGCATTTTTAACTTGCTAGCACTCCATGAAAATTATTTTTTATTATATAAGTATGGCTATAGAGGTAAGCTGGGACTTGGTGTGTAATCCTTTTGAAATAATCTTGACAAGCTTATTTAGCATTAGGTTGCTAGCTTGCAACGATACTTGTTTAATTTTGAACATATCAACTTTCTAACACCTGGCTTCGGTTAAAGCTCTCTGCTCCATATTTTTTTGCAAGCATCTTCACATTTTCATATCATTCTATGCACTATTACATGACATTTTGGATGCTACTGTGTAATATCGTAGGTATAACTGTAATAATTTGCTACCATAAAGTACAAAAAGTTTGCCCTTCAATAGCAAATGCCACCTTTTATGTTAACAGTCAGATTATTTGATTGTTCGAAGCCAAACTGGTTTGTTTTTGAATGGTTTGAATGTTACTTGTAATTTCATTTGCAAGTCTCCAGATGTGGTTGAAGTGATTTGAAAGACTGCATCCATTGAGTATTGTATTGGTCAGGTGACTAATGTGGAAATTTGTTGTGTGGGTATAACGTGTCCAAATGCCATTTTATATTTCAGTTACTAGCACTGGACAAATTTAAGTTGATTCCTCCTTTTCCCCAAGTATTTCTGTGGATTTAATTCCCTGTTTTGCTCTCTCTTTTTTTTTAAAAAAAAAAACCTTTCATGCCCTTGATGTAGATTTGAGAATATAACAAGGAAAAGGAAATTCAATACAGCAGTAATATTTATTGCATTAGCAGAAGAGCACAGCTAAATACAGTTTGGTGAACAAAACAAACCATTGATCTGAGATGGTTGAACGGGTGAAATTATTTTTAAAAGCTCCTCTTGGATGGTGAGTTTAATTAGCTGCAGAAGTATGGTGATGCACTGTCCTGTAATAGCAAGGGAAACATGGTT